CGCCCGATGGGGACTTTGCAGGGTGCTGCACGGCAAGTGCACGCGCGCCTCCCCGACGTGGCTTCAATGCGCCACTTCGCCACCTGAGGCCCCCCCGCTGGGCAGGGGGCGATGGCCGCGCCCACGCCGCCGAATAAGAAGGGCAGCCGTTCCTGCCCAACTGCTTGGGCCCCCCGCTGTCACTCTCAGGAGGCTCCAGAATCGGCACTCTGCCCTTGGGCGGTGGTAGCCCTGGGCCCAAACAGCAAGCCCGCCGAGGCCATCCAGATCCGTCAGCCCCCCTCGCGTAGCAAGGGCGCCCTGGCGGCCATGATGGGCACAGGCGAGCCCGATGCAATGGCTCAAGGGGGCCTTGGCCCTTGGCTCAAGGGCCTAGGGCTCAAGGGCCTCAAGGGGGGGGGGGGGGGGGGGGGGGGGGCGCGGTCAGGGCCCCGGCCGCGCGCGATGGCGCCCCCCCCCTGGGCAAGGTTGCATGCGTGCCGACTTGCCGCGTCGCCGCTCGGGGGAAGCAGCGGCGGCGCGGCGAGAGGGGGGGCGACGCGCGCGCAAGGCGAGCACAGGAGGAGCAACGCCTCGGGGGGAGGCACGCGAGGCAGCGCCACAAAGGGAGAAGGGAAGCAAAGGAGGCGGCGGGGGCGCCCGCACAGGCGGACCCCGCCAGGAGAGAGGAGGAAGAGGAGCAGGCGGGAGCAACCGCGCAGGCGGACCCCGCCAGGAGAAGAGCAGCACTGCGGAGCTCCCGCCCGACCCCGGCCCTCCACCAGGCCTGTGGGAGGCAGCGGGCGGGCGTCGCTGCACTTCGGAGGCCCGCGCGAGGAAGAGCAGCCAGCTCAGGCAGGGGCCCACTTCTATCAGGGGCGAGTCGTTCGGGCCCCTCCGTTTTCGGCGGGCCGCCGAAGCAGAGGCAGAGGAAGAGCGGCATCGCAGCGACCACGACCACGACAACTGGAAGCAGCATCGACACCGCGACGCGCAGGGAGTCACGCGCACAGGGTGCACCCACAGCCTTCGTCAAGAGGGGCCCCAGGAGGCAACAGAAGCTGGGCAGTCGCCGTGCCGGGCAGCTGTCGCTCGCAAAGGCTTTCGACGGGCTTGCCGACGAGCCGCGAAACAAGACCTAGAGGACGGGATCGCCGAGCATCTCGCGCTCGCGAGACAGCCGACGGCCTTTCACCACCGGCGCGCGTTCTTGACAGAGAGGTTCGGCAGAAGGTTTGTTCAGGCCGCCACCCGAAGAGCGCAAGAGGCGGCCAAGGGTCAGGCGCCGCGCGACGAGGACCAGCCGCCGCAGCAACGCCACGACCACAGCAACCTGCCTCTGCACCCTTGGCGGCCGCGTTACGGTCAGGCCCCGCGCCGACCACAAGAGAACCGAGGCTGAGAAGGAGATGGCGCGGGCGGGGCTACTCGGGGAGCACGCTTGCTTGGGCCCAGCGCCAAGCGCACCACCGCAAGCGCACCCACAAGCACCACAACAAGCAACCTCAGAACGACGACCAGCACCACAACGACGACCAGCGCCACTACAACGACGATCGCCACCACAGCAGGCAACAGCAGGACGACCACCAGCACCAACGCAACAGCAACAACAGCACCACGACCCGTCTACAGATCCACGAGACGCCCTGCACCACCACCGCCACCACCAAGACGACAACCAGCACCAGCGGCAGCACCGTCACCGCGACCAGCTGCAGCAGCACCACGGCGACCAGCAGCAGCAGCAGCAGCAGCACCAGCAGCAGCAGCAGCAGCACTACCACCACCACGACGACCACCAGCACCAGCAACAGCACCACAACCACCACGATGACACCCTGCACCACCACCACCACCACCGCGACCACGGACGGCAGCCCCTAGGCAGCAGCAGCAGCAGCAGCAGCAGCGGCAGCAGCGGCAGCAGCAGGCACCGCGGCAGCGGCCAGGACGACAGCAGCCAGCAGGGCCCTCCGCCACCCCAGACGGCCATTCCAGCCGTCTGGCCGCCAGCCCCCCAGCCCCTTCCGAGGGAGGGGGCCGGCGTCAGTTGCAGCCCGTGCCCCCCAGGGGAAGAGCCCCATTCCCACGGTAGAACTCCCCTGGGGCCAATTCCCCATCGGGGTTCGCGCGGCCCCGCTGCGGTCCCCGGCGGCGCCCCGGCTTGCGCAGCAAGCCCACAGGAGCAACGCGACAACATGTTCGACCACAAGAGGCGATACGACTCCCAACAGTGGCGCCGCGAGCAGCAGCACAACGACGACGACCAGCAGCACCACCACGACGACGACAAGCAGCAACATCAGCAGCAACACCACCACCACGACAACCATCACCAGCGGCAGCGTCGCCACCGCAACCAGCTGCAGCGGCACTACCACGACGACCAGCAGCAGCAGCACCACCGCCACCACCACCACCACCACCACCACCACCAACAGCAGCAGCAGCATGGCAACCACCACGACGACACCCTGCGACACCGACCAGCAGAAACACCAACGCCACCGCCAAGACAGCGACCAGCAGCAGCACCGCGACAGCGACCGGCAGCGCCGCCACCAGCACCAGCGCCAGCACAAGCACCGCCACCACCACGACAGGAGCAGCGCGCACTGGCGAGGAGTCCGCGGGAGGCGCTCTACGGCCACCGCGGACAACGGGTCGGCGAAGCCAGCCACCCAGGCCCCCCCGGGCCAGCCGACGAGCCGCCGGGCACGCCGGAACGCAGATCGGGGGATTCTGCCCCGGTACCAGCGCTCGCGGAGACGCCGCACACGCTGTCGGTGCCGGATAGGTTCGCCACGCCAGACTCGCGAGCGGGCGCGCGGTCGGCCTCACCACCGCCACCGCCACCGCAGCTGAACCACTTCGAAAGCGTTTTCGGCGCCTTGCCTGCAGGTCCTCCTGGGGCAGAAGGGAGGCGGTGGGACTTTTCGGGCCTCTCCTGGCCGCCAGCAGCCCTGCGCCTTGCAGGGGAAACAGCAGAACGCGGGGCAGCCGAGGGGCAGCCGCAGCCGCCGCAACAACAGCATGGGGCGGAGCCAGACGCCAGAGCTCGCCGCGAGGCAGCAGCAGCGGCAGCAGGAGCGCCAGCAGAGCGGGAGGCGCCCGAACGACCGCCAGCGCCACCAGGCGAGGCCAACACCTGCATCGCGTGCCAGGAGGAGATCCCGCAAGACGGGACAGGCAGGGACACAACAGCACAAGAGGCTTGCTGCGGCGCCCACTTCCACTTGGGCTGCCGCACTGACTTGGCCCGCCACCTGGGCGAAGCCACAACTTGCCCGCAGCGCCGAGCCAGACTTCCGACCACAGCTGAGCCACGGGCGCGGTGCGCGGCGCAGGACGCGGACATAGACCGACCGCCGCCCCCAGCCCACAGCACCAGCGCCCAGGCCGCCCCAGACTACAACGGGTTTCGGAATTACGCGCGGGGCGAAGAGCCACCACCACCCGAACCTCCGTTACTCCGAGCGCTCTGCTGCCGACGCCTCGGCCCACCGCCCGAATTCTCCGAAGTGCCAGACCGCCGCGCGGAATGGCCCCCGGGGATCGCAGCACGAGACACCAGCGGGAGGATCACGCAGTGGCTGGAGCCATGGCTTTGCCGGCGTTGCGGGGCGCGCTGCGGACTCGACACGATCGCGCCTCCGAGCGGCCAACAGATGCGCGCGAGGTGCCCGGGGCTGGGCACGTGGGCCGCGGAAGCCAGCGCGGCCGAAGGCGAATGGAGGTGCGGTCGGTGCGAACCAGACGCATGGACAAGAGAAGTGCCCGCCACCCCACGGGCCGCCGCAGCCGACGACCCACCACTAGCCCCGCCAAGGCCAGAGCGGGCCGCCGCGAGGCCGCCACAGCACAGCCTTTTCGCCGGCTGGGCCCGGCCGCAAGCGCCCCTCCAGGCACGCACCAACTCGGCGGTTTACGCGCCCCTGCTGCTGGCGGCCGCCGGGCTTCTAGACCCAAGCGAAGGGGCGCAGTGGAGAGAGCACCGCCTCACGCAGGCTTGGTCTTGGTGGCAGCCAACGGTCGAGACGCTGCGGCTTGCTGAACCTGTGCCAACAGGGCCCTTCGTCCAGATGCTCGCGCACAACGACGCCCGGCCCGGGGAAGTAGCAGCAGTGCTCGCTGCAGACGGAGGAGAACGCCCAGGGCATTTATCCTTTGCGCCAGTCGCCCAGGCCGTGGCGCACAGCAGCACGGGCTACATACAGCCGCTGGTGCAAGACCTCATCCTCGAAGCGCTCGGCGCCCTGGTGCTCGCGAGGGGCGTGGACGCACGCACGGACGAACTGCGCAGCCCGAGCCGCGCCCGCCCCTGCCGCCGCCGCAGGCGCCCCCACAGCCAGAACCGAACGACGGCGCGAGCGGAGGAGGCGCCAGAGGAGGAAGGAACGCCCGAGGAGGCCGAGGACGAAGAGGTGGCAGAGCAGGCAGAGGAGGCGGCGGGGGGAGAAAGGCCCCGGCAACGACGGCGGGGACGAGGGCAGCGACGACGGCCAGGCCGACAGTGACAGAGCAGACCCGGGCCCGAGCCCAGACCCGCACGGGCCACCACGAGCGCCCGCCCCCGCAGCGGCGGGAGCCCCCAGGGCCGCAGAGGCAGGGGAGGAGGAGGAGGAAGAGGAAGAGGGCGACGGCGGAGGGGCAACACAAGGGCCGAGAGGCCGACGCCCTCCCCAGAGGGAAGCGCTACGCAGGGCAGAGAGAGAGGCGCTGGACGGGGCGGACTTACAGGCAGCTCTGAGGCAGCGGGTGGCCACACTGCGGCGCACGCCAGCATTCCTCCGAGGACCCCTGCGCAACGCGCTCCGCAAAGCGCTCAGGGAGATCCACGCAGGGGAGGCCAACGAAGCACGCCAGCTCCGAGGCTGGAAGCTCCTCTTCCTGATCCCACGCATGCTGCTGAGCAAGGACCCCGGCGCCCGCACGGTGCCCAAAAAACAGCTGATGAAACGGTTTGCCCGATTCGAGGCGGGCGACTGGGCGCCCCTGCTAGCATCCCCAGCCCGAAGGCGTGGAGGAGACCGCGGGCGGCCGCCGGCAGGGAGCGACGAGGAGCTTACCCAGCGCTGCGCGAGGGCGCACGCCTTGGCACAGCAAGGCGAAGTCTCGGCGGCGCGCCAGGCCCTCACGGCCAGCACGATCGCGCCAGGAACCGAGGCCACGCTGGCGGAGCTGCGGGACCCAGCACGACGGCTCGCCGAACCGCGGGAGCCGCTGAGAGCGGACCTGGCAGCGTTGGCCGCGGAGCCCATCCTCCTCGAGTCCGACAAGCTCCTCCGCAATCTCCGCGGCTGCCGCAGGGGGGCCGCCCCAGGCCCGTCGGGCTTGACCGGCGAGCACCTGCAAACGCTACTGGAAGACGAGCAAGCCTGCGGCTTGCTGCACCACGCGGCGGCGAGGATGGCGCAGGCAAGGCTACCAGGACCAGTGGCAGAAGCTTTGCGCCTGGGGCAGCTCACGGCGCTAACCAAGCCGAACGGGAAGGCGAGGGGCATCGTGACGGGAGACGTGCTGAGGAGGCTGGTGGCTCGCTGCGTGGTCCAACAGATCAACGAGGAGGTGGAGGCAGCCACAACGCCATTTCAGGTCGCCCTATCCACTACAGCGGGCACGGAATGCGCGGCGCACCTCATCCAGAGCTTGACGCAGGCCAACCCAGAGGCGACAGTGCTCTCCATTGACGGCATTGGCGCGTTCGAGATCATGTCGCGCTACGCCATGCTCCAGGGGTTGGCGGGCCTCCCGGCCGCGAGCTCAGCGCTGCCCTTCTGCAGAATGTTCTACGGGCCCCGCTCGCAATACCTCTGGACCGACCGGCACGGGGGCGCCCACGTAGTGGAGCACGCCAGAAGGCGGTGAGCAGGGCAATCCCCTGATGCCCGCGCTGTTCGCCCTGGGCCAAAACCCTGCCCTGCAAGAGGTGCAAGCCCACATGCTTCCGGGGGAGCATCTCTTTGCATTCTTGGACGACATATACGTGGTGTCAGACCCAGCTCGATCGCGAGAAGTTTTCGAGCTGGTCCGCAGCGCACTCCAGACGCACTGCGGCATCGGAGTCAACATGGGCAAGACGAAGGTCTGGAACGCAGCAGGAGTGGAGCCACCAAGAGTCCGAGAGCTAGGCAGCGAGCAAGACCGCGTGTGGGTCGGAGACGCCGCAGCACCGCCACGCGAGCAGTGCTTGGTGGCATCGGCACGCCCATCGGGCACGAAGACTTCGTCCGCCACCACACGCGCTCCCTGCTGGCAGACCACCGCGTTCTCCTGCACCGGCTGAGCCAAGTTGGTGACCTCCAGACCGCCTGGCTGCTCCTGAGCATGTGCGCCAACCCGCGGACCAATTTACCTAACAGCGAAGACTGATAGGTTTCTAGTAGTCTCAAAAGAGAGCAGCAGATGACTCCACAGGGGGGTCTGGGCGGGTGCCGGACAGGGTGCCGCAGAAGTCGTTTTAAGCCAACAGTCACACACTTCGTGCTCTTCGACCTCCCAGAACTCCATTCCCGGGCCACATTCTGAATGCCCGGAGCCAACTGTAGGCCACTTCGTGCTCTTCGACTTCCCAGAACTCCATTCCCGGGCCACATTTTGAATGCCCGGAGCCAACTGTAGGCCACTTCGTGGTCTTCGAGTCCCCAGAACTCCATTCCCGGGCCACATTTTGAATGCCCGGAGCCCACTGTAGGCCACTTCGTGCTTTTCGATTCCCAGAACTCCATTCCCGGGCCACATTTTGAATGCCCGGAGCCAACTGTAGGCCACTTCGTGCTCTTCGAGTTCCCAGAACTCCATTCCCGGGCCACATTTTGAATGCCCGGAGCCAACTGTAGGCCACTTCGTGCTCTTCAAGTTCCCAGAACTCCATTCCTGGGCATGATTTTGAATGCCCGGAGCCAACTGTAGGCCACTTCGTGTTCTTCTAGTTCCCAGAACTCCATTCCTGGGCCACATTTTGAATGCTGAGGCAGGCTGATGCTGCGGCCGAGGCAGGCTGAGGCTGAGGCAGGCTGAGGCTGAGGCTGAGGCTGAGAGGCTAGAGGCTGAGGCTGAGAGCTGAGGCAGGCTGAGCTGAGGCTGAGGCAGGCTGAGGCTGAGGCAGGCTGAGGCTGAGGCTGAGGCAGGCTGAGGTGAGGCTGTGAGGCTGAGGCTGAGGCAGGCTGAGGCTGAGGCTGTGACTGCGACTGCCGTTGCCGCTGCGACTGTCATCGCGAATGCGACTACGACTGCGAGAACAGCAGAATTCTACAACTGGATTTTCGTCTGAATCTTAAGGGGGATGCTTTCATATATGCTTCTACACATCGCTGTTAGGTTGCTTTGCCGGGATAATTTTACCTAACAGCTCTTGCTGATAGGTTTCCAGTGGTCTCAAAAGAGAGCATCATGACTCCTCAGGGGGGTCTGGGCGGGACCCGGACAGGCTGCCGCCGAGGCTGCCGCCGCACTCGCTTTTCGCAAACAGTCACACACTTCGTGCTCTTCGACCTCCCAGAACTCCATTCCCGGGCCACATTTTGAATGCCCGGAGCCAACTGTAAGCCACTTCGTGCTCTTCCCTTAAGACTCCATTCGACAAAAAATTGTCGATCGACAAAAATTGCCGAATTCGGCAACTTTTGTCGATCGACAACTTTTTGCTGAATTCGGCAATTTTTGTATAACGGTGGGGTCAGCGATTCGACTGTTTGTTGGGTCCGTTCGGTTGTTTGTTAAGTTGTTCGTTAGGTCCGTTCGGTTGTTTGTTAGGTTGTTTGTTAGGTAGGTTCGGTTGTTTGTTAGGTAGGTTCGGTAGGTTCGGCTAGGTCCGTTCGGTTAGGTCCGTTCGGTTAGGTCCGTTCGGTTAGGTCCGTTAGGTCCGTTAGGCTGCTTGATGTGTGTAGGTCGATGTTAGTCTGCTTTGTTCGTTCTCATGTCGTTAGGTTGCCGTTGTCCTTTGAGCCGTTTTGAGAACGACGTATTGAGAGAGCGACGTCTTGAGAGAGCGATGATGTTCGGTTAGGTCGTTCACCAAGCAACGTTTGTAACGTATTTGCACCACATAGATTGCACCATATATGTTGCATGCACCCCATAGGTTGCACCACATAGATTGCACCACATACATTGCACCACATAGACTGCATCACATACACAGCACCACATAGATTGCACCACATAGGTTGCTTGCACCACATAGATGTCACCACGTATGTTTTTATTATTGTTATTTCTTTTTGTTTCATTGGATTGCCGCAAGTTCGCGCTCCAGGGCAACGCAATATTTACCAATTGACTTATTTCCAACCTGCCACGCCGTCGATCTTTTAGAACAGCTGAAAATCAGCCGCCGCATTTTCTGCATGAGGTCCTCCCCTCTGTAACACCACAACCGCCGCGGCGACGATTCTATAAGACAGCAGTGCAAAAGAAAATGCGCCTTCACAGTGAAGTGGAACATTTCCCCAGCGTCGGCTTCTTGAGAGAAGAACTCTTGCACGTCTGTCCACAACATCAAAAGAGAATGGCACGTGTTAGCGATATCCTCCCGCACATCTCGCGGCAAACAAAACGCAGTGTTATCTACAGCGTCGATTTTCTCATCCAACAGAACGTTCAAATGCAATATTAACCTGATCTTCTGATATATACTGACCTGGCCGCCTGCGTGCTTATCCCATATCTTCAGAAGAACAGGGCCAAGGCATTTGATTTCTGCTGCTTTGCCCCGCAAGTTGCCCTTGGCTTTTAAGCTGAACATGGACAGCTGCAGGTTGCTGAATCTAGTTTTTACATCATCAGATTTATATATGTCAAATATTTCGCGCTGCAACTTTTCCAAGTTTTGTTCTGGAGAGCCAGGCATGATATAGTGCGTCAGCGCGTGCAGCGCTGATCAGAGGAGCCTTTTGTCCAACCCCGAGTGTTTCACGTGCATCCAGTCAGGCGCACATGTCAAAATCGACACGCCTGGTAGTTGGAACACAGGGTTGCAAGCATCCATGCCCTGCGCCCTCCACTGCGCCTCCGTGAACACATTCTGGACCCACGCAGCATTTGGTCTGAAGTCATACCATGGCATTGTGCTGTTATTTGCTGGGCACCAGCCGCACGGCTTGGATAAATTGTTGCAGTTTGGCAAGCCAACGCCTTTCCACATATAATCTAGATCGCCGATCAAAGCCCATAAACAAGCATAGTGGCCACCCGCCAAATCGCCACTCTTTGATCCTGGCGGCATCGCCAATCCATTTTCGTCAACCTCGGGCCACTTTCCGTGCCACAGGGCCTCCAAAGACCATGTCAATTTCTTCCAAAACTGAGTCAACGTTTTTCCAGCAATCGAAGACGCCTGGATACCAGTGAACACCATAAAAATCACGAAATACGCAAGCTGAGTTTGGCCCGTTGTGACCAAAGATGTCCAAGACCATATGTCACACAATTTACCCCATGACTTGCCTAATCCAGTCACTGGTGTTCCGTCCCCGTGGATAGAGATTGGAACGGCAAGCCGTTGATGATGTTGGCGGAAACGAATCGGGTGATTCAAATATTGTTTTGAATTCTTAACGTCGTCCCAGAATTCACGCAGCGCCGACATGGATGGGCACACTAGTTTTTCCCAAGCTTTCGGGTACTCGTGGTATATCCTAGAGAACAACACATGCGGCCACAGCCCACCCAGATCCTTAAAATGTATTCCAGTCTTGCCAGATTTGAGAATCGCATTGAACGGCGAAGGCCGCAGTGCCGACTCGGGCGAAAACTTTTTCATGAGCTGCGAATGCATATGTTGCGGGTTCCGTCCAGCAGTGCCAAGCCCTTTCAAGAAATCCACCGTGCCCATGTCCAACGTGCCACTCGCGCTCGCCTCCAGGTCCGCCCTCAGGAGCGTCGCAATCTTCTGGCACTGCTGAGGCGTCACGCGGCCCCACGCCCATTCCTGGACCAGGAAACTTGCCACAGCACTCTGCAGCAGCGCTGCGGCCCTGGCCTGCTCGGCCCTCTCCGCTCGCTGGCGGCAGCCGCCGCGTCTCCCAAGCAACTCCATGGTGCCCGTCAGCTAAAGACCAGATGCTCGATTTGAAACGTCTACTGATGTCAGGTGTGGATGGGGGGCGGGGCGGGGTACGATAACGCCGACGACGAGACGTCACAGCGAAGAAGAAGCCGAATCCAGCCGCGGCGACGAGCGATGTCCCCGACAGTCCCAAACACGTAGCAGCGTGGTGCACTCTCAAGACACTCTGGACACTCTCAAGACACTCTGGGCACTCTCGAGGCATGGGAATGGGGAGGAGGAGGAGGACTATGTGATTTCAGTCGACCGCGCCGCGCCAGATCGCTCCAGCAACGCAGGACAGCTCGGCGCGCGCGTTGCGCCAGAGCACTTAGTTGTCTCACTCGTATCGCAATCCACTTAAGATCCGAAATAGATCTAAACTTGACTGGGCCAGGGTACACTTTAGATCTAAATCAGATCGAAACTCAACTACTGGATAGTCTAATTCAGACCTAAACTAGATCCGAAGTGGATTGCATCGAAATCTAACTCACGCTGGCTGTGTTGCGTTGGATGTATTGCATTGCGTTGGGCTGTGTTGCGTTGCGTTGGGTTGGCTTCCGACTCCTCCTCATCACCATCATAATCTCCATCATTTTTACATCCTCATCCTCACGTGCTCGCTTACTTCGCGAACCTCTTGGCCAGGCTCATCGCCTCCTTCAGCTTCTCGCAGTCCACTGCGCACGTCGCGAGGGCCTCCTGAACAGCGGGGATCGTCAACTTCGAGTTGTCGGCTGCCTTCCTGAAGCGGTACATCTTCGTCAGCGCATTCTTGTCCACACTGCACGCCTCGACCGCGACCTCCAGCTGATCTTTGATGCCCTCCGCAGCTGGCGGCACTCCGTTGGTAACCAGCTTGTCGAACATCTTCTCACCGTCCTTGAGCAGCTTCTCGAGGATGCATAGGGCCGTGGACAGCTTGTCGATCGCCTTCTGGGGCAGCTCATCGCTGCTGGCCTGCTTGCTTGTCTCCTTTTTCGTCAGCTGGAAACCGAAGTTCATGTTGTTAACTGCTTCTTGGATCTTCTTCGCCTGCTCTTCGGTCACATTCTTGCCGATGCTGAGCCTGTTCTTGTCGACAACGTCGTGCCTCGTGCCAACCTGGACGGTCCTGATCGCGCAGTAGGGGACGCCGTCCACCGTCCACTCTTGAACTCCGCCTGCCTTGATGGCTCGGTTGAGCCCCTCTTCTCCGTCACGGAATTTCTCGATCATCACGGACCTTGGTATGCCTTCTGACGAGTCCTGGTCAAACTTTGATTTTTTTTGCTCGATCTCCTTCTGGTACCACGGGCTGTCGAGCTTGAGCACGAGTTTTCCGTTCACCTTGTGGAAGAGGTTATTCACGATCTCCGTCTCTCTGGCACGCCTGCCCTTCGGATCACGGGCCGCCTGCTCCCACAGCGACTTCGTCTCGGGGGGCAGCGAATCCATCATCTGCAGCAACTTCCGCATCTTTGGTTGGCTCCGCTTCCCGTCGCCCTCGTCGTCGTCGCCAATCGTAGCAGCCGCGGGCCTCCTCAAGTTGCAAGCTGGCTTCTGGCGAACAGCCGCACCCTTAGCAGAAGCAGGCCTCCTCATGGCCCGCAAGCGCAACGCACTAGGGCCCAGGAAGCGACCTGGCTGGAACCTTGCAGGCTTCTTGGCAACAGGTTCCTCCTCATCCTCTGGCGCCTCCTCCTCTGCCTCCTCGTCCTCAGCATCCGACTCCTGCAGGTCCGAAGCTTTCAGGTCGCCCGCCAGGGCTGCCATCTCCTCGTACAGCTCAACTTTCGCAGCCTTCGGAGGCATCGTCGGTAGCAGAAATCAGTGAGATCTTATCAGCTCAGCGTGAGAGAAACAGCGTTGCTGAGCCAAAATGTTTACAGCATACACAGTTGATGACATATATCACGATCTAGTTTCGATCTAGTTTAGATCCAAACTAGATAATTGCTGAATCTACTTCTCATCTAGTTTTGATCTACTTCTTATCTAGTTTTTCAACACGCACTCACAATCCCTGATAGGGGTCGCACTTTTTCATAAAGTAGATCAAAACTAGATCAAAAGTAGATCAAAACTAGATCTGAGCATAATCTACTTTAGATCTAATCTAGATCGAAACTAGATCGCATGTCTGCCTGGTGACATCTACTTTAGATCTAATCTAGATCGAAACTAGATCGCATCCCGCCTGAAACTTCCTCGATATTCAGCTCGCACCAATGAGTAATGAGGCTTCCCGCTTGAGACTTCCTCGCACTTTGATCAGGAATGAGGCTTCCCGCTTGAGGCTTCTCACCTCGAGACATCCCTACACTTTGATCAGGAATGAGGCTCACCGCTTGAGACGTCCTCGATACCCGATATCCCGATACCCGATATGACATCAGAGCATGCAAGATTTGGGCGCTTCGCCTGAGACATCTTCTGAGTGATATCAAATTCCTTTGGGTTTTTTGTTCGAAAGCTCGTGGGCTGAAAGCTTGCAGGGCGCATGCATGTCCCAACAGACGGCCTGCTACGACAAAGAGCTCGAGTCGTCATCGCACTGAAACTTAATCGTCTACGACAATGGTCGTAACTATTTTTTGCTCTGCATTGGCCTTGACCAGCTCAAGCGGCAACTTAGCGCCCTTCTTAAGCTTGGGAAGCCACACGCCAGTCGGGTGCTTCTTTCCTAGCGTGCGCCTCACGGGCCGATGTGGTGCGTCACGGGCCGATGTGGTGTGGTCGCCGACGAGGGGGGAATCAATCTTCGGATCGTAGTCCCAAATGCTTGGCTCCACGAACAAATCAGCGCGTTTCTGCTGCATGTACCCGAGGCCGCCGTCCATGTACGGCGACTTGTCAGCCATTGCGGCAGTGCGGGGAGTGGGCCCACAGACCCCCGGGCTCCCCAGGGGGAAAGCAAGTAGGGACAATACAAGCAGAAGAGACTCGAGCCTCGAACAAAATTACATTACGGCCCCGAGAAAAGTCACCGAAAACATTATTGGGGTCCTCTTGGAACTCTTTGAAAAAAAAACAATTTTCTGAAACCAGTGTTTTTTTTTTTCCACGGCCCAGGGTGGCGCCAATCGGGGCATTCTTGGGGCTCTCGTGGAGCATTCTTGGGCCCCTCTCGGGGCCCTCTGAAAGCCTTGGGGCCCTCTGGAAACCTTTCTCTCAAGACACTCTCTCTCAAGACACTCTCTCTCAAGACGTCACTCTGGAAGGGGGAGGGGGGGGAAGTTTATTTTTTCGCGCCGACCTAACGCGGCGCAGTTAGCGCTCCTCCTGGAGCGCCGTGGCCTCCTCCTGGAGCGCCGTTCGCGCGCGCCTCTCCATCTCCTCCTTGAGCGCCGTGGCCTGCGCCGTCCTGATGGCCTTGATCAGCTTCTCACCTCGACGAAGAACGTCTGCAGCATCGAGACTCCATGGTTCCCTCATCGATGGCGTCGATGCTGAGCTCGCCGTAGGCGCTGGCGTCGATGCTGAGCTCGCCGTAGGCGCTGGGGTCGACGCTGAGCTCGCCGTAGGCGCTGGGGTCGTTGGTGCTGGCAGCTTCCGTTTCTGCAACTTCGCGAAACTCAACGGGATTGGACTCGGGGAGATGTCGGGCCAATGAGCGCAATTCATAGAAACCAATGTCCGCGCGGCCTCCTCGGTCTTGAACACAACAAACGCCACGACGAATGGACTCTGAGCATGCGAACCTCGTCGGACAATGAACGCGTCGTCGACGTCGTCGAACAATCCAACCTCCGTCAGCTTGGCCGCCAGCATGCCCTTTGTTGTCGAAAACGGAAGCTGGCCCACGAACACCTTCTTCTTGTCGACGGGAACGTTGGCAGGCGGGTGCGGCTGCAGCTTAGACGCGGACATCGCCTCGACGGCTCCACCCGCTGGAAGGGCGAGCCAAACTCTTTGAGCCAAAACGGCTCGACGGATGGAAGGGGGTGGTCATCTTAAATGTGGTGGGGGCATATGGAATCTGGTATCTGGTTGCCGAAACGCACTTGAGTGAAGAAGTTGCGAGGAAGTCTCAAGCGGGATCCCCATCGTTTCTCTTCTCTTTTCTCTCAAGGCGTCCCTCTCTCAAGGCGTCCCTCTCTCAAGACAGGAGGAGAGGAGAACGGGGGGGGGCGTGATGATGTGTTACTTGTCGACCTAGTTCAAATCTAATGTAGGTCTAAACTCAACCGAGCTCGATCTAGTTCAGATCTTGTTTAGATCTATATTCAACCGAGCTCGATCTAGTTCAGATCTAGTATAGATCTAAACTCAACCGAGCTCGATCTAGTTCAGATCTTGTTTAGATCTATATTCAACCGAGCTCGATCTAGTTCAGACCTAGTTTAGATCTAAACTCAACTGAACTTACACCACACTTTGTGAAACAACATTGTATATGTGGTATTTTCCAGAACGCGTAGGCGGCGATCGCCTTCAAGTTCGAACGTGCATTGCTATTTATCGCACAGCAAAGCCTAACCCCGAAACAGACTTTCACTAGCCACGACCCGCGCGCAGATGCACTGCGCCGAAAAGCTTGACGACTGCTGCCTAATCCAGATTCTCCTTCTTGCCTTCTTCCTCACCGAGCCTCGAGTAGCAAGTTGCGCAGGTGCCCTTCCACCTGCACTTTGAGCATCCCCAGCCCATCTCACGGTACTGCCTGCGGAGCTCCTCGGTCTCGGGCCTCCAATAGTCGTTCTTGCCGCCGCCGCCGCCGCCGCGCTCGTCGGCGATCGGTGCCAGGACCTCCTCGCCCGCAGCGGGGGGCTCCATCGCCACGAGCGCCGCCTCCACCTCCTCGCGGGACGCCAGGGCTGGCGCATTGGCTGTCGGCTTGGCGTTCGCCTTGCCTTTCGCCTTGGCTTTCGCCTTGGCTTTGCCTTTGCCCTTGCCCTTCTGGTTCTTGACCTTGCTCTTGTCCTTGCTCTTCGCGCCCTTGCCCTCGCCCCTCTGGCTCTCGTCCTTGCTCTTCTTGCCCTTGCCCTTGCCCTTGCCGCGCTTCATCGGCTTCAAGATGCGAATGGGCTTCGTCGGCACAGTCGTTGATTTCTCCATCACTACCTCGAGCATGTCCCAGTCGCAGTCGGTAACGCCAGACGGGCGCTTGACCTTGCTCACCTGCTCATCCGAACTGCTGGGCGCCGAAAGGTTAGCAAGGTCAGCAAACGCACTCGACAAGTCAAGCGCGAACTTCTCCGTGAGGGACTCGTACTCGATCTCCTTCTCGACGTTGCCCAGCCCAGACGCTGCCGAACCCGAGCGAGTCGGAGGGGCCCTCTCGACGTCGGGAGTGTCGGCAGCACCGTCGGCATCGGCCTTAGCCTTAGCCTTGAGGTCGTTGAGGTCCCAAGGGAGATGCGTCATGAGATCGAGGACCTTCGTGATCTTCTCCACCTCAGTGCGCGACGCCCCCAAGTAGCAGCGCCGCCGACCCTCGGAGCTCGTCTTGACGGTGCGGAAGTCCATCCAGAGCATCTTGATGGCCTCCGCAATGCTGTTGGTGAAATCTGTCTGGGAAGCGGGAGTGAAGTTGCATTTCTTCTCATTGTCGCACGCTGCAAGGGCCTTCTCGAGTTTCATTCCTGGCGCTACACCGTTCTGGATTACTGGGGCCAGGGCAGCGAACAACGGACTGACCATGGCAAGGACGTTCGCTTTGGGAGCTGTGCGCCAGGTCACGCCATGGTCCACCACCACCTTCAGAAACCCATTGATGTCCCGATTGGGGCAGTCATCGCGCAAGAAATTGCTGAGGCCAGCTTGGATATCGGCAACTGAGATCATTGGATTGGCCGTCAAGCGGTCGCTCGGGGGCGGCGAACCCTCAGGGGTTCGGCTGGCAGCAGACATGCTGCCACAGAAACTGCAAACACCTTGAGCCACAAAACCGTGGCTACGTTGCGAAACACTTCAAATCAACCCAAATCAATGCAACGCACAACACTCAATCAATGAAATGCAATGCAACCCAAATCAAAACCATCAATGCAATGCAACACGCAATGCAAAACTCAACCAATGCAAAACTCAACCAATCAATGCAACGCAATGCAAAATTCAATAAATGCAATACAAAGCAAAACTCAATCAACGCAAATCATTGCAGCGCGATGCAAATTATTGCAGATGAATGTGTGTTGTATATGTTATGTTTTTGTTCGCTCTGGTGCGATGCTTGATATGATGCATCACGGTTTATGGTATGTAATGTTATATGTTATATATTATGTGTGGGGCCGTATGATAGTTGTTGTGTTATATTGTCTGTGGTGTGCTACGTGTTCTGCTATGTGTGTGGTCTTGTTTGTTAGGTTGCTCGTTAGGTTGTTCGTTCGGTTGTTTGTTCGGTTGTTTGTTAGGTTGTTTGTTAGGTTGTTTGTTAGGTCCATTAGGTAATTTGTTAGGTTGTTTGTTAGGTCCATTAGGTAACTTGTTAGGTTGTTTTACCGGATAGCCGGTAAACTGTTTGTTAGGTAACGGATCAATTGAATATTCAATTGATCCGGTCCGTTCGACAAAAGTTGCCGAATTCGGCAATTTTTGTCGATCGACAATTTTTTGTCGAATGGAGTCTTAAGGGTTCGACTTCCCAGAACTCAATTCCCGGGCCACATTTTGGATGCCCGGAGCCAACCGTAAGCCACTTCGTGCTCTTTGATTCCCCAGAACTCCATTCCCGGGCCACATTTTGGATGCCCGGAGCCAACTGTAGGCCACTTCGTGCTCTTCAAGTTCCCAGAACTCCAATCCCGGGCCACATTTTGAATGCCCGGAGCCAACTGTAAGCCACTTCGTGTTCTTCTAGTTCCAAGAACTGCATTCCTGGACCACATTTTGAATGCTACGGCAGGCTGATGCTGCGGCCGAGGCAGGCTGAGGCTGAGGCAGGCTGAGGCTGAGGCCGAGGCTGAAGGCAGACTGAGGCTGAGGCTGAAGCAGACTGCGGCTGAGGCTGAGGCTGAAGCAGGCTGGTGCTGAGGCAGGCTGAGGCTGAGGCTGAGGCTGATGCAGGCTGAGGCTGAGGCCGAGGCTGAAGGCAGACTGAGGCTGAGGCTGAAGCAGGCTGAGGCTGAGGCTGAGGCAGGCTGAGGCTGAGGCTGAGGCAGCCTGAGGCTGAGGCTGTTACTGCGACTGCCGTTGCCGCTGCGACTGCCATCGCGAATGCGACTACGACTGCGAGAACAGCAGAATTCTACAACTGGATTTTCATCTGAATCTTAAGGGGAATGCATTCAGATATGCTTCTACACATCGCTGTTAGGTTGCTTTGCCGGGATAATTATTTGCGCACCATGGCGCCGGAGGACGCGCTCGAGTTTGCGGCGGCCCACGACGAGCACATGGCGCAGGCGGTCACGGACCTCCTGGGCACCCCTGGGGACCAGCTAGCCGCAGGACAGACGGCCAGGGAGGTCGCGCAGCTCTCGCTCTGCCTCGGCGGCTTGGGCTTGCGCTGCGCTGCCCACGTGGCGCCCGCGGCGTGGTGGGCCTCTTGGGCAGACTGCCTGCCGATGCTGCGAGAACGCGCGCCGGCTCTGACCGCGGACATCTGCCGGGCCCTCGACGCAGGCGCGGCCGGGCTCCCACCAGGGCTCCGCCAGGCAGCCGAGGCGCGGCGCCAGCTGGCACAGGAAGGCTACGAGACGCCCACCTGGACGGCGCTGGCGCTGGGAGCGCGAGCCCCGCCCACGCACGACAGGGAGATGGGCGAGTGGGCGCACGGCTGGCAGTTTTGGCGGCCCAGGCAAGAGACGACCGAGCCAGGGAGGGCCTCATGCAACGCATGCGCGCCCCAGAGCGCGCCCTGCTCCGCTCCCAGAGCGGCCCCTGCGCCGGCCGCGCGTTCACGGTCTTGCCCACGAGAGAGCCCATGCGGATTCCACCCACAGAGTTACCCGTCCTCCTCCTGCGCCGCCTGCGCCTTGACTTACCACTCACGGCAGGCGCGTGCAGGTGCAGAGCACCACTCGACAGCAGAGGAGACCACAGGGCGGCATGCCCCACAGCCGGCGTCCTCAAGAAGCGGGGAGCACCCCTGGAGAAGGCGACGGCCTGCATCTGCTGCGAGGCGGGGGCGAGAGTGGTGGAGAACCAGTTCCTGCGGGACCTCAACGTCAACGGCGCCGGCGCGGGCGACGGCAGGCGGCTCGAGGTGATCGCCAACGGCCTGCCGCTGTGGGGCGGCGCGCAGCTGGCCGTGGACGCCACGCTGGTCTGCCAGCTCGGCCGGGACGGCACGGCCCACCCGCGCACGGCTGACGAGGACGGGGCGTGGCTCCGCGAGGCCCGCCGCCGCAAGGAGACCACCCACCCGGAGCTCCTGGACGCGAGGCGCTGCCGGCTCGTGGTCATGGCCTTGGAGGTGGGAGGCTGGTGGTCCCAAGAGGCCCTCCAGTTCGTGCGCCTGTTGGCGGATTGCAAGGCCCGGTCGGCGCCCGAGCTTCTGCGCGCCTCGGTAAAGGCGGCTTGGGTCCAGCGGTGGACAGGCCTCGCCTCGGTGGCGGCGCAGCGGGCCTTCGCAGCCTCTCTGCTGCACCTGCCCCTGGACGGCCTCGCCTGCGACGGCGACGAGCCCTGGCTGCAAGACGTCCTGCCGGACGCGCGCCACACCGAAGCGCCAATCCCTAGCCGCAGGCCGGCGCGCCCCTGAGGGGGGCGGCCCCCGGCGGCGCGAGGGCCAGGGGCGACGAACGCCACCGCCACCGCCCACGCGCACCCAACGGGGGAGGAAGCGCACCCACCAGCAGCACCGCCACCACGACGGCGACCACGCGCACCACGACTAAGACCAGCTGCGCCACCACCACGACAGCGAGGAGGAGGAGGAGGAGGAGGAGGAGGAGGAGGAGGCACCCAGCAGCGGAGGAGGAAGCACGCCCAACAGAGGCAGGCGTCAGAGGATTCTGGCACCGCAGCCAGCAGCGCCACCAGGAGCAGCACGACGAGTACCGGCAGCAACACCGGGAGCAACCCGACGGGCCCCAACAGTCCCACCAAGAGCAGCAGGACGGACCCGGGCAGCAAGGCTGGGAGCAGCAAGGCGGACCTCAGCAGTACGACCGGGAGCAGCACGACGGGCCTCGGCAGGAGCACGCGGAGCAGCACGACGGGGTCCAGCAGTACCGCCGAACGCAGCACGACGGCCCGCAGCACCACCACCAGACGTCAGGGGCCCCGGCTGGGGGGACGACCCAGGGAGACAGACCCGGGGAGACAAGACAAACCCTGGAAGACACAACCCCCAGCGGGGTCCCGTCTTCCAGGGTCGGGCTTTCCACCGCGGCCAGAAGAAGCACCGCCAACAGCAAGACGGGCCCCAGCAGTCCCGCCGAGAGCAGCACCACGGGCTCCACAAGCAGCGCCGCCAGCACTACGACGGGGTCCAGCTGCACCGCCGAGAGCACCAATACGGTCTCCAGCAACACCGCCGAGAGCAGCACGAGGAAATCCGGCGGCAACGCCGAGAGTAGAGGAACGAGCCCCAGCATCATCGCCACCAAGAGCAACACGACGGGTTCCAGCAGCAGCAGCATCGGGAGCAGCACGACGGGAGCCAGCAGCACCGCCGAGACCACCACGACGGCATGGCGACCAGCAGCACCACGAAAACCACGACCACAACTGCGACAACAAGCAGCAGCAGCAGCAGCAGCGGCAGCAGAAGCAGCAGCACAACCACCACTGCCGACTGCGACCAGCAGCGCCACCACCACCAGCACGGTGACCAGCACCACCACCACCACGACGGCGACCAGGGGCAGCCCGGCGACCAGCAGCACCACGACCACCACTACCACAACTGCGAACACAAGCAGCAACAGCAGCAGCAGCACCACCACAACCACTACGACTACGACCAGCAGCGCCACGCCCACCAGCACGGCGACCTACACCACCACCACCACCACCACCACCACCACCACCACCACCACCACCACCACCACGGCGACCAGGGGCAGCACAGCGACCAACAGCACCACGACCACCACTACCACAACTGCGACACTAAGCAGCTGCAGCAGCAGCAGCAACAGCAGCAGCAGCACCACCACCACTACTACCACCACCCCTACGTCCAGCAGCGCCACCACCACCAGCGCGGCACCACCGCCACCACGACAGCGACCAGGGGCAGCACGGCGACCAGCAGCACCACGACAACCACTGCCACAATCGCGACAACAAGCAGCAGCAGCAGCAGCAGCAGCACCACCACCACCACCACCACAACGACAACGACCAGCAGCGCCACCACCACCACCAGCGCGGCGACCAGCACCACCACCGCCACCACGACGGCGTCCAGGGGCAGCACGGCGACCAGCAGCACCACGACAACCACTACCACTACTGCGACAACGAGCAGCAGCAATACGCCCACCACCACCACTACCATTACGACAACGACCACCAGCGCCATCACCACAAGCAAGGCGACCAGCAGCACCTCCACCACCACGATGGCGACCCGGACCAGTAATGCGACCAGCAGCACCACGACAGCCACTACCACAACTGCGACAACAAGCAACAGCAGCAGCAGCAGCAGCAGCAGCAGCAGCTGCTGCAGAACCGCCACCACCACGCCTACGACCAGCAGCGCCACCACCACCAGCAAGGCGACCAGCACCACCACCACCACCACCACCACGACGGCGACCAGGGGCAGCACGGCGACCAGCAGCACCGCGACAACCACTACCACTACAGCGGCAGCAAGCAGCAGCAGCAGCAGCAGCAGCAGCAGCAGCACCACCACCACCACCACCACCACAACCACTACGACTACGACCAGCAGCGCCACCACCACTCGCACGGCGACCAGGGGCAGCACGGCGACCAGCAGAACCACGACAACGACTACCAGAATGGCGACGACACGCAGCAGCAGCAGC